TTTTTTTTTTTTTTTTTTTTTACCAGTATGTTGTCTTTTTTTGTTTTTGCCCTTTTTAAAGTTTGCCACTTCCACAATCTCTTCCCTGAGGTGAATGTTGTCACATGAACCGCTAATTTATAGTATGCTATTCCTAACACTCTTTTCTTTGTGTTCATAATTGAGATTTACCAAATTTAAAACTACATTTAATTTGTGTTCTATAGTGAATTCTATGGCATTTGCAGGCCCGGTTCCAGAATCAAAACAGAAGTTGGTGAGGGTGCTCTAGCCTTAATGCACATCTAGTTTGACACACAGACTGAAGATGGCAACACGTGTTCATTTCACTATAGAAAAGTGAAGCGAAAATATCCAAGATATGCCGATGATGTAATTTGGAGTCAGAGTCTGTGCAGTACTGATCATGAGCTGGACCTGCAGTATCAAAATCCCACTCAAACTCCCACTGACTCAATCGCAAGCACCCACACCCCGTTTTTATAGTATCAAATAACTAACTAGAAGCAACTCATTAGGAAAAACAAACACTTTAGCGTGCAACAGAGATAAGAACTACATATGGAAAATATTTTTGGGAAATAAATTATTTGCGGTGTATTTACATTTTTTTTGGGGGATTATGTCCAATTTGTTTACATGGGTGAGGTTCATGATCTATATTGCAGCCAGCCACCAGATGGCGATCAATGTTTTAGCTTCACTTTTTAGGACATGTGTGGTGCACTTTTAGTTTGACATTGACGGTGCGTTCCAAATGGCATATATCGCCCTCCAACGGGCACTTCGGAGTGAAAACAATCATGGCCTCCATATTGAAGGGTCGTTCCAAACCAAAGTGCTTAAAACTGGCCACTTCAAAGGGGCCTTCGGAATGATTTCAAAGGGTACAACTGTTGGACATTTCGGCTCCCCCATGATGCTTTGCACTGATTCTTTGCAGGATGATGGCGCCTCCACGATGATGCAGAAGGGCACTTCAAGGAACAGTTTGGTCCCCTACACCCTTCAACCCTTCGAAGCGCTCACTCCGGAGGGTAAACTCTTTGAATGGATTAAGGCATAGGGATGAGTCCTTCCGAATGGAACGCTGAGATATTTTTGTTCCATAGATTGCAATTTTGGGGGTGAATCCCACATTTATGCGGATGTCACTCTCAAAACTTTGCAAAGTGTATGTGGCCGTTGGCCCTCTTAGCAGCATGAAGAACAAAACTTTTATTGAAATTCATTATTGATTATACAGGTGCATCTCAATAAATTAGAATGTCGTGGAAA